AATTTTGCTAGATATTGTTTTTGATGAGCAAATATTTCTATAATCTTTACAATGAAATGTTGAATGTTGTTGAGAAATGTTATTTCTCTCCCATCAAAAACACTGCCAAGGCTACATTATAATGCCCCCATCCCCGCTTCTTAATACTATAATTTTTATTGAGTTTTCAAAAAGTACTTATGATACCATTTGGAAACGAAACATAACGATTCCATTCTAAACTTTTCTAAAAGGCCGAATACATTAAAAAAGCTAAATAATGCAGACTCTGGAAAAAAAAGGCTAAAGATGAAAATAAAGAACTGATTATTGTACACTTTAGGCCTATTCTGCAGCTGCCGTTGGAGCAGTTGTAAGAATTTTCAAGAGTTTCATATTCTATATATTAGCACAGTGTTACTCTGAAAGTTTGTTGCTGCCTTTTCCTTGGATTAACATAAAAGAAGATGACATTGATCATTAAATCCATGCACTAGGAAATATTTACTATAATTTTCCAAATGATCAAGAAATACGTTATTTGTATTCACCAACTGTTTGGTATATGCAAATCTTTCCCTACACTGTACAGTGCCATTCTATCCATATGTTCCTATTTATGTTCCTTGGCAACAGGGTACAACTTTCATAATTGTGAAAGGGTTTTATGAAAAGCCTATACTTCTTTTATGCTGTCTATAAACTGAGAAAATTAAGAATGAATATCATGGAAATATACATAACGTTTTTAAAAATATAATAATGAAAATAGGAAACATTAGCACAATGTAATGTAGCACTATCTGGTATGTGTCACTAATCTTGAAAAAAAAGAATAAAATGGAAGAATGGGAGTAAAAAAAGGATAGGGTAGGATAGGGTTTTATTTTTTACACAAATGAACAAACAAACAAACGAACAAACACACAATGTATTTTTTCACAAATTTAAACAGTTTTTAATCATTTCAACTAAATTTACAATTTATATATTCCGTTTTTGCCATAATATTTATTCTCTCTATTTTTTATTACCCTTCATCCTAACCTCTACTCTTAACCAAATTCAATTTTTCCCAAGAAAGGATAGTTAAGGGAAAGTATTTCAATGTTAAGTTGGGCTAAGGATTAGTATATGTATTGTGGATTCTCCAATCATTATAGATAAAGGTAGTCCTCGACATACAACAGTCCATTTAGTGACCGTTCAAAGTTACAACAGCACTGAAAAAAGTGACTTATGTTCACTTTTCATGGCTGTTGCAGCATCCCCATGGTCACGTGATCAAAATTCAGATGCTTCTCAACTGACTCATATTTATGACGGTTGCAGTGTTCTGAGGTCATGAGATCCCCTTTTGGGACCTTTCTGACAAACCAAGTCAATGGGGAAGCCAGATTCACTTAACAACCGTGTTGCTAACTTAACAACTGCAATGGTTCACTTAACAACTGTGGCAAGAAAGGTCATAAAATGGGACAAAACTTATTTAACAAATGTCTCACTTAACAACAGAAATGTTGGGCTCAATTGTGGTCATCAGTAAAAGATTACCTGTAATAGGTGCATTTAGACTTTTGATGTTGGGGATGCTTTCATAAGAATGCTCCAAAGGAAGATGGACTTTCATTTGAACATTGCCATAGTGGGAATGGCCAACCCCCAAAATCTTGTTTATTCCAATATTCCCTTACTTTCCAGAATGCTCCCTAGTTACTCCCTCCCAGTATATTTTTATCTTTTTCTGGGCATACAGCCGAGGTGGGTTTAAACAGGTTTTAACCAGTTCTGAAGAACTGGTAGTGGAAATTTTGAGTAGTTTGGAGAACTGGTAAAAACCACCTCTGGCTGGTTTTAAAAACTCACCCCCATCTATTCTCTGCCTCCTGAGTCCCAGCTGATTGGGAGAAAATGGAGATTTTGCAGTAACCTTCTCCTGGAGTGGGGAGGGAATGGAGATTTTACCATATCCTTCCCCTGCCACGCCCACCAAGCCATGCCCACCAAGCCACACCCACAGAACCAGTAGTAAAAAATTTTGAATCCCACCACTGGCATACAGAAATACCTGTGAATAATGGTCCTGACTGCAGAAAGTCACACATTTATGGGAATCTTTTTAAAAGATGAAATATGAGGCAAATAGCTCAGTAGGCTTTAAGGGAAAGGTTGATAGGCACTCTGATGTGCACAAGCAATAGCATAGAAATCCCCAAAACTCTGAGATTGTATCGGAGACTTCAGAGAAACTGTGGTGTTTGAAGATTCTCTTTCTATGGTTTGTTGAAAGTAGGCATGATGGCATGTGGTAGTCATTTGTTCCATGACCATAGGAAAATTATGTGTGTTTTTTTAATAATCTGGGAAGAATTGCAGAAGTTGATATTGGGCAATTTCAATAGGAATCATACATGGTTTGAATTTAGTTGTCTAATAGTTTTGGTACCTCCCAAATGTCCCAATGCACTTCTTTGCTCAAAACGTATCAAATGTATTTTTAAACTTTATTTTACAAGTAGCGTAGTTTACATGCTGTTTTAAAGCAGCCCTCAATTTAATGCTCTTTTAAAAGGGAAGACTCTGGTAAACGCAAAAGTCAGATAGAAGTGACCGAAGCGTGAAAATGCACAAATGAAGACTGGAAATAGTCTGCCTGTTGCTAACGCACAGCCATCACCTTCAAATGGCACTGTGCTTTGCAATTGTAATGTATAAGCGGCATGGCCTTGAGACTAGAATATCTATCGCAGTGTGGCCTTAATGCTGTAACAATAGCAGCAAGATGGCCTTGAAAATGGAACATTCATACTATGACACACATTAATTGACACTGTGCAAGAAAGGTTTCTTTTTTTTTTAATCATCAGCTTTGTTACACCTTTAGTCTTTTTTTTACAGCCTTCCTTTGAAAGGACTAATGAAAAAAGATCAGGCAATGCTTATCAGTGCAAGGTAATTCTGAAGATACCATTTTTTAGAATCCTTTCATGCAGAAATGATATTGGATGCTTTATTATTGATGCGATCTTTATTATTTAGTTGCTTTTGCAGATGTATGAAAGTCGGTCTTGTAACCAGTTGAATCCTATTTCCTAGGATATTGTTCTTTTAGATACATAAGAACAAATGGCTAAATAAGTTTGCTTTTAAAACGTTATGAAATATTAACCGAAACATAAAATTAGATGGGAGAGTAAGATTGAACTTTTTACTCTTTTTTTATCAAAGTACCTGGCATATTAACACTAAGGAGATTATGCAATTAACTGACAACACTCAATATTTTAAAGGGACTTTCAAAGGTTAAATGATTTATTAAAATCAATATAAACTTTCTCACTATTCCCTTAAGTGATATCATTGACACTTACTCTTTCCTACAAATTGGTTGCAATATACAGAATTAGCAGGGTAGGCTTGATAAAAGATTGGGCGGAGAGCCGAAAGCACTAAATTCAAATCCTTCCTTAGTCTGCTTCTCTGTCACCTTCTTAACTTTCAAATTTATTCATAAAAGCTTATGGAAAATCAAATTAATATAATTTGCCAAATGATGATGACCTAATATATCCAATTCTTATTGTTTAAGCTTTTTCAGAAGTTTGAACTTGTGGTATTTTGTTTAATTTAAATGTATCATTTCAGTTGTATTATTCAATACAAACTGACATTAAAAGTAAGCTAAAGTATTTTTAGGTCCCCACAGTTACTCCTCTCATAAAAAGATAAAGGTTCCCCTTGCATATATGTGCTAGTGGTTCCCGACTCTAGGGGGTGGTGCTCATCTCTGTTTTAAAGCCAAAGAGCCAGCGCTCTCCGAAGATGTGTCCATGGTCATGTGGCCAGCATGACTAAATGCCAAAGGCGCATGGAACGCTGTTACCTTCCCACCAAAGTTGGACCCTATTTTTCTACTTGCATTTTTTATGTGCTTTCAAACTGCTAGGTTGGCAGAAGCTAGGACAAGTAACAGGAGCTCACTCCATTACGTGGCACTAGGGATTTGAGCCGCTGAACTGCTGACCTTTTGATTGACAAGCTCAGCTTCTTAGCCACTGAGCCACTATTCTCATAGGTTTAGTTTATTCAGGTGACTCTTGTTTTAGCTAACCTTGTGCATCCTCCAAGGCTGGTACCTGTCTCTCAGTCCTTTAGATTATGATCTCTCTGAATATAAATAATTATGTTGATAAGGTTAATGTCTTTTGTTCTGGGTTTTTAAGTTGTTTTCATTTTTAAAATAGGTAGTTGAGGGTTTTTTGTTTTTTTGTTTTTTTGGGGGGGTTGTTAAAAGCTAGGTTGCATTTGGCATCTGCATTTTATCAATAAAAAATATTAGTCATTTTATAATAAAATGGTAATTTTATATGGTAATATATAATATTATTGTTTACTGCTTGTGAACTAGGGAGCCAACAGCCAAAGCCCACACCTCTTTTGTATAACAAGGAAAACTATCCTGTGCCATACTTTTTAAATATTTTTTGTTTTTCTTAAAAATAATGCACATTGTATCCTTTATTCTCCTCCATATATAATTTGTATGACACAAAATATCAGAATGAAAGTTTCATCGTCTCTTGAATTTATTATTATTGGGTTCATCTTTCTCCTCATTAAAGGCTGATAACAGGATCTCGATGTGAGAAGTTATTCTATTAACCTTTAAGTGTCATACAAATTGTGTAGATGTTGATTTTCTTTTTCACAGCATTCGAGCCTTTTTTGCATATAATTTACATCTCAAGTCAAATCATCTTAAAATAGCCCAGTGTATTATGCAGATAAATCTTTATTGCATAATTAATAGATTGATTGATGCTCATACCAAACTTCATTTTTATCCAGTGTTAGTACAAACTCATTTATTCAAATGGGAGACATAACAAACATTCACTTGTTTTTAATTTAAATATGGAAACAGACCCATCAGATACCATTGGGAGAATGCATGACATCAGGGTAATAACGAGTTTCTTCCTATGAAGAAATTGGAAATATTATTAGGAGGATACTAACTTTATTGTGCAGTCAACTGAAAAGCTAAATAAATTTATTTTCTCTCGTGTTTAGAGGCTAAAAATAACAGATGTCTCCTCAAGAGTAGCTGACAAGCAATGCATGAAAATATTGCTCCATAAGTGAAGCATTATATCCACTAACTTGCATTCACCACCACTGAGAAAGCTCTGTCCAATTTTCTTTGAGTTGAAAACATCTCTGGTTCCTTAAAAAATGAAAAGCATACTGAATGAAAAGAAAAAAAATGTAACCCAAAGAGAGATAGTTAATGGCATGCAATCCCAAACTGTGCTTACTTTTCCCACCTTACATGACTGTATATGTACAGGCAGTCCTTGACTTACAACAGTTCACTTAGTGATCATTCAAAGGTACAACCAGTGGTGGGTTGCCCCCGGTTTGCACCAGTTCTATAGAATCGGTAGTAAAACCGGTGGGAAGCTCCACCCACCAACTCTGACGTCATGAAAACGCTTCTGCGCTTGCGCAGAAAATTCTCTGCTTGTGCAGAAGACTGTGTGTGCGTGCAAGCGAAGCAAGTGCATGCAGGCGGCCCCGCTGTGAACCGGTAGTAAAGTAGAACCCACCCCTGGGTACAACGGCAATGAAAAAAGTATCTTTTGACCGTTTTTCATAGTTACGACCTATGCAGCATTCCCATGATCATGGGATCAAATTTCAGATTCTTGGCAATTGGTTCATACTTATGACTGTTGCTGTGTCTCAATAACATAAGAGCCCTTTTGGGGACCTTTCTGACAAGCCAAGTCAATGGGGAAGCCAGATTCACTTAATAACCAGGTTACTAACTTATCATCTGCAGTGTTTCACTTAACAACTCTGGCAAGAAAGGTCATAAAATGGGGCAAAACTCACTTAACAAATGTCTCATTTAACAACATAAATTTTGGGCTCAGTTGTGGTCGTAAGTCAAGGACGACCTCTATATATTTCTTTCCATCCTTCTATTTGTTCGATGTAGCCCTATAAACTAGATAGATGAGGTGCAGTTAGTCATAACAATCAAATATCAGGTTCCCTTTATCTAAATGTTGGATTTTCTCAAGTTAATGGTTTCAAGTTCTAGAAATAATTGATTTTTTTTTAATTAAAACTAAGAAGAACAGTTTTTATATATTAAGCCTGTGCAATGCTTCAGACTTGATTCAAAAGAGATGCTATGGAATGTAGGAAGCATGACTTTAGGTCCTGTTCATTGCTCATTAAAGCAACTGTATATGTTTCCAAGATAGTACAGGATGAATAACAGTTTCTTTGCAAATTTATGGGAAAGATGTAGTTGCTTTAATCTATTCTTCTATCTATTCCAAAGCACAGCTTACAAACAGAATTTGAAGTACGGCTACATATTACTATTCAGGTGTTTAAAAGGGCAACCTGAAGATGAAATTGTAAAATACCTTCAGATGCATTTTTCAGGTTAACAGTTTTTATTCTTAATCACATTTCAATGCCATACAACAGTGATTCACAATGTGAGCAGATTGGAGAATAAGATCTTTCTTGAGCATTTTAAAGTGCAAAGGTCTTATTCACATAGGCTAGCGTGGGTTTACAAATCAAGAGTTTTTGCACATACAACCTGCACTGATCTTTCACCTCAACCTGCAATGCTTAAGTATATGAGCCGTGTCCTTCAGTTTTTATTTGCAATAGCACCCAAAGCGTTAAGAATAGGTTGTCTTCAAAGTAGTGCTCTCAGCTCCTAGATGATCCAAACACTCTAAAAGAATATTTTATTGAGAACTTTAAGAATATCAGCAAAAGTTCACTCTTACCCTCTCTCTCCAGTATGGTGACATTTTGGAAGAGATCTGACATTGTCTCTTGCTAGAGCTGAGAGTGAGTGACCCAAAGTTATCTACCTAGCTTTATACAGGATTAGAATTCAGCATCTAGTGCCTTTAAGCATTTCAGTGAAGTGGTTCTCAAACTGTTGCTTAGAAGACCTCTTACTTGGATGTTTGCTGTGGGATTGCCTCCCCCTTCTCCCAAAAGAACACTGTCATTTCTTATTCTACCTGTACGCATGTGTGACAATGGAGTTTTCTTACCTTATTTTCTCCTTGCTCAGCTCTCCTCTTTATGTTCATCAGAAAACACCAGCAGATGTTCTTGGTGTTTTGCTTCAGGGTTAAGAACAAGTTTAGAACATTCATAATTCAAAATTGGCAATCATTTTTATTTCCCTTTTCAATCACGGAGCCAAGAAGAGACAACAATCCACTTGAGGCATATAATCACAAACACAAAAGTGAATTTCATGAGAGATACTGCTGAATAAATATTCTTTGGAGATTGTGTCCAGAAAATCTATCACTGTATGAAAATATCTACATTGTCCAGGTACAAGGCAAACTTGGTTGGACTTCTGACATGACTAACCTGTTTATTTATAGAAGTCAAAGTAAACTTGAAGACCTCCAAAATGAAGAAGTTAAAGGACTTTGATACAATAAAAATTGTGTTGGCAATCAGTGGAAGTTCAGTGGAACAAGTTGATTTAAGGTGAAGCAAGTGATCCTGAGTGTGTATAGATGTAGGAAATTGATTTGTTCAGCTACACTTCACTTTGTTTATCCTTCTACTTGTAGACAAAAATACATATAAAGGGTAACAAAGTAAAGAAAATACTAAATGCAAACACAAATACAAATACTGTAATATATTTCAGAACATTTTAAAGCGAGACAGTTATTTATGATGAAGTCACAGTTCCTAGAAACAACATTCCATTTCTCAGTTTAAAAGCATTAAAAAATACTGTGTCTCTGTGTCTGGGCCTGTATGCTTATATTCATTTGACTTATTTCAACTTGTCCCTAGTTCTGCAGTCACAGAAGGCACTGGCTTTAACATTATTTTGTATTGTCTCAGGTCTCTTGCTAAGAATTGAGCAGAAGTAATATGGAAGAAGGAAGGAAAGTAATAGAATCACCGGCATTTGGTCCAATTGACCTCTTCCAATGATGAATTACTTCATTTTGGAAAATAGGGAAGGATATTCCTGCATTCTTATATTCCTGCAGCTCTTGCATTCTTCACACAACCATCTTTAGAGGTTTGGTGCACCTTTGGAACAAATTTTTGAAACAAATTGGGTGTAGATCTTGTGGAGAGAAAGGAAGTCTCACTGGTTCATACAACATTGGGTTTTATTTCTACAAATTAAATTTAGAAAAAAACACTTAAAGAAGAACAGAATCTGTATTATTAGGTTCAAGCATGCCCAGGAATGTTCTTACATTATTAATTCATTGAACTGTTATTTTATTTATAATTATTTTTCTTGCTTTATCACCTATAGCCGCAATACAACTTGCATCACAAATTAAAAATAAAACTATATAATAGCATCAAAGCAAACAATAAAGAAAACATGTGTAGCATGCTAAATCTAACTAGCATCAACAAGAAAAAAAGCCTTACATTTAAAATGTCAAAATAACAAAAGGCAGTAAGCAAGTTTCCAAACTTTAAAAGTTATTAAATATACTTGATGGATTGCACCTAAAGCAGCTTTCTTTAGTCTGAGCCTTTCCAACTATGGTAGAAAATGTAAATCCAGAAATCCCAAATAAATCATTGGGAAGGTTGGGAAAGGTTGATTTAATATTTTGTAAAGAAATGACAAAGGTGCTAGCCTAGACATCAGAAGACTGTGAATTCTAGTCCCGTCATAGCCATGAAAGCCAGCTGGATGACTTTGGGCATGTCACTCATTCTCAACCCAACACCTCATAGAGTTTGTTGTTATGGGGAAAATAGGAAGAAGGTGTATTAGCTATGTTTGCTGCCTTGAGTTACTTATAAAATAATAAAGGTGGAATAAAAAATCCAATCAATCAATCAACCAATCAACCAATCAAAATAGAATTATAAAATACTGGTGCTATGCCACAGAGCTGGCTTCGCTCAATGCAACTGATGACAAGAATAAAACATTTCTGTTTAACAATATGTTCCCAAACTGTTGGAAATGTAAACAAATACCTGGCACATATTACCACATGTGGTGGACCTGTATAAAGGCAAGGAAATTTTGGATACAAATTGATATGTGGTTAGAAAAAACGACTAGACAACATACTGTATAGAGTTTAAGCCAGAATTATTTTTATTAGGCATTATATCAGACGGTTATGATAAAGGGACAATATACCTAAGATTACACATCTTGACTGCAGCAAGACTCCTTCGGAAGAGGAGACAGTAAGGAAGATACTGATCTGTGTGGAAATGGACAGACTAACGTTAAAAATAAAAGATAAAGGAGATACAGAATACTTTGCTATATGGAATAGATTCTACCAATGGTTAGAAACACAAGATGGAGGGTAGAATTCCAAAGAATCAGATTAGGTGGAAATGGAAAAAGATAGTATGTATGTATTAGAATGTAGCAGTGGTGGGATTCAGCCATTTCGCACCACTTCAGGAGAACCGGTTGTTAACTTTCTGAGCAGTTTGGCAAACTGGTTGTTGGAAGAAATCATTAGGGTAGAGAACCGGTTGTTAAATTACTTGAATCCCACCACTGGAATGTAGGTATTAGAATGAAAGATAAATTGATATTCTAGAATATGATGGCCAGAAATAATTACAGCACTAGCACTGTTTACAATAGTATATGTGTTAGTTTGTTTCATGGCAAGTGGAATACAAGGACAATTGCACTGTATTCAATATATTTATATGAAAATATAAATTGCACTGTATTATATATATATATATATATATATATTAAAAAGAATAAAACATTTCTTCTCTTAGCACTAGTTAATAATCTAGACCCTGCTTTTCCATTGTATTATAATAAGTTATTTTTTTACATGAATAGTATATGAGAATTGTTCATTTATGTTCAAGTGCAGTCATTGCTACATTTGCTTTGTTTTACTGTTGTATGCCACGTTTGTATGCCCTGCCACAAACAAAACGAACAAAAGTTTGATATTATTTCCAAGAGGAAAAGCTGATTTTTCACTGTTTAAAACCAGGGAAAGGCCTTAAGTGTTACGCTGCTGTGTCATTGGTCATTGAAACTATCCCATTTTATAAGTCCCTTCAAAGTTCAGGAATGCAAAGTATATAATGCTGATCTAATTGAATAATGCTCAGTTCTCTCACAGCTTTTGTCTTCATGAAAGAAGCTTAACACATAAACAAGCAATATTTGACAAACGCTCTCCTTTGCCTCATAAACAAATGTTCCCTTGGATGGAGATGAGTGATGCTTCTAACTGTGGCACACATTAACTGGGTGTGAGATATGGTTCCTGCAAGAATAGTTTTCATCCCTGCACACCAAAATCCAATATGTCATTAACAAAAAATAACAAGTATCATCTCCCTATTCTCAAGAGCATGGTGCATTTTTTATAGTTTCTTTTTGCTTCCAAATAGGCTGAAACCTGCCTTACTGTCATACATAGACTCATCAGCCCAGACAACTATCATTCTTCCTCTTGTTCGTCATCCTCATTACCTCTCTTTCTCTATTATCAAAGTGTGATATTTTGTTATTGTTTCATTTGCATTTCCCTGGAGACCTTCTTTGCCTTATTATTTTCAAGGGGTCTTTTCTGAGTTGCACTCTGACAATCCTTTATGAAATGTTCATTTGGGACAAATACTGTAGAGAAAACTGTCAGTTATCTGAAAGATTTCTAATGCTACTGTTTTTCTACTGCAGTTTCAGTATACTTTAGAATTTCTTTTGAAGGTCTTTCTGGAGTTTTACTATCCTATTGCAGGATAGCTAAAGCTGATGGTTTGGTTTATTTTTTTCTTATTTTTCCCCCAGTTTCATCCTACTGTTGTTTTGCAACCTACCTGGCTGTCAGATTTCCTGATTTGAAAAAAAGAAAGAAAGAAAGAAAGAAAGAAAAAGGAGAAGTTTGCCAATAATATCTTCCGTTGGGCATTAGTTGGTATATTCAAAGCCAAGGCAATTGCTGGTCACAGGAGATATGATATTTATTTATTTATTTTATGCAATTTATATGCCGCCCTATCTCCGCGGACTCAGGGCAGCTCACAATGGTAAAATGCATAGTTCCTTATTAAAATGATATAAAATTAAAATCCAATTTAAAACAGTTTAAAATTCATTAACACCCCCCCCATCAGTCCAGGCTACGGAACAACCAGGTCTTCAACTCGCGGCGGAACGAGCAAAGGTCAGGGGCCATCCGGAGCTCCAAAGGAAGTTGGTTCCAGAGGGTGGGTGCGCCCACAGAGAAAGCTATCCCCCTGGGGGTCACCAGCCAACATTGTCTGGCCAACGGCACCCTGAGGAGGCCCTGTCTGTGGGAATGCACTGGGCGATTGGGGATTGTCGGTGGCTGCAGAGGGTCCGACAGATATCCTGGGCCTAGGCCATGAAGGGCTTTATAGGATATACACATAAATAACCATTACACTATTACTGTATCTTTTAGGTCAAGAAATATTATTGAGCCATGGTGGCACAGTGGTTAGAATGCAGTATTGCAAGCGAATTCTGCCGAGTGCTTGGAGTTCGATCCTGACCAGCTCAAAGTTGACTAAGCCTTCCATCTTTCCAAAGTTGTTAAAATGAGGACCCAGATTGTTCGAAGCAATATGTTGACTCCGTAAACCACTTACAGAGGGCTCTAAAGCACTATGAAGCGCTTTATAAATCTACATGCTATCGCTATAATGCAAAAGACAGGAAGGAAAACAATTAACAAAAGTAATTGAAGGTGGGTGAAAAAATCTAAGTAAAGTTAGTTTATGCCATCATTCACTGTAGCTTTCCATATTTTCAATCTTTGAAAATCTTTCTTGCTGTCTTCCTATCTGTACCAAAAATCAGGATGTTTTTTTCAATATATTAACTGTTATAAGTTTCAGAACCACTCTCAGTCCATTTTAATTTCATATTTTAAATTTTCCCTTGAAAATGGTTATAAAAGCATTTTTTCTCCTATCAAATCCTCTTGGGTAATATTGAAAAACAAAGAAATATTTGGCCTAGCATTATTTGGGATGATGTTCACCCTAAAAAAGTGAGCAAGCATGAAGTCTTATTTGAACAATTTTTCTGTCTCAGAATAACATTGATAACAGAGTGCAGTTGGCTAAATTGCACATGTCACTAAAGCATCATTTTTTTTAAAAAAAATCTTTTTTTAAAAGCATACATTGGAGGGAGATGATTCTGTTCAGGATGGTAGCATGTAAACAGAAGGGATTTCATTCCTTTGTTGAACTCTTCTCTCAGACATGTTTTTGAGGAAGATTGCCTTTAAAATAAAGGACCTTGTGTTTTCAGTCTTTTTCTCTTGCTGTGAATAAATTGCTACTTTGAAGGATGATAGATTAACGAGATACTGTGTCCATAACAATATGTGTAGTTAAGTGGGCTTTTTTCCTTTTTTTTTTTTTTTTTTTTGCTGCCATGTTATGATGGAATCCATACATGGAAATGTGTTTTGACTCTCTTTTGTTTAAACACATTAAAAAGGTTACTTGTTCTTCATGCATTCCCACTTCAGAAATGTAAACTACAAGTTTTTGTGTGTGCTAGACCAGTTTTGCTTTAAAGGTAGGTTGTTCTTGTTAGCTGCGAAGTCATGTCCGACCCATCACAACCCCATGGACAAGGTTCCTCCAGGCCTTCCTCTCCTCTACCATCCCCGAGAGTCCATTTAAGCTCACACCTACTGCTTCAGTGACTCCATCCATCCACCTCATTCTCTGTCATCACCTTCTTTTGCCCTCAATCTTTCCCAGCATTAGGCTCTTCTCCAGTGAGTCCTTCCTTCTCATTAGGTAGCCAAAGTATTTGAGTTTCATCTTCTGGATCTGGCCTTCTAAAGAGCAGTCATGATTGATCTCCTCTAGGACTGACCAGTTGGATCACCTTGCAGTCCAAGGGACTCGCAGGAGTCTTCTCCAGCACCATAGTTCAAAAGCCTCAATTCTTTGGTGCTCAGCCTTTCTTATGGTCCAACTTAAAGGTAGGTAGGCACCTGTAAGAAAGGTAGATAGAAACTGCAAATCTCAACCATCTTGTTAATAAATAGAAATACTTACTAGACAGG